CATTGCCCTAACAAACCTTACCATAACTTACCTCACTAAATCCCAATCCACCGCTGATTTAGATACCATGATAATAAAATCGAACAAACAGCAGTAAATATCGTAATTATACTCACACTTAGAATGTGTTGGGTTGAGTCCTGTGGGTCTGTAGCAACGGATACCGAAAGCAATGTCTGTACATTCAAGTCTCTTAGAACGGCGCCCATTTTCTCTGCCACTGTCCACGAGTTCATTCCACCGCCAGTCACTGTCCAGCCGCCATACTGCTTTATCAAGTTTCCCAAAGGTGAAATCCCTCGACGCTCAACAGCAGTAGTATCTACACATGTATCGTAGATTTTGGCAGTTTTCACGATAGATGAACTCTACAAGACAAGATGGCATTTAACAAGCCTTAATCAGTTGAACCAAATCATGCTGGTCTTCACTGTCACGCCATCAATCTGATTGGTTCTTGAANCAGTTTTCACGATAGATGAACTCTACAAGACAAGATGGCATTTAACAAGCCTTAATCAGTTGAACCAAATTATGCTGGTCTTCACTGTCACGCTATCAAACTGATTGGTTCTTGAACTACAAGACGTATCAGTTCAATATACAACTGGCACATACCATCCTGTATAAATGCAAAGCCCTGCAAATTTGCCTGCAAATTTCCAAATAACGCCGGAATGAAAACCCGCACAGACCTAAATCTTAGTAAAGTCCATTTTTATATGTCAGTCACCTATCACATTCAGATTCTTGACTCAATTTATTGAGTGATCACGATTTTTAGTTTTGATGACGTGACAGTGAAAACTAGCAAAATTTCAGCCATGTTTTAGTGTAGATGAGCAAATCCGGCTTTCGGATGGATCTATGTCAAACATTCTACGACCTGATTGGTTTGCATCTGGTTAAGCGTCCTAGACTACTCGTGCCAAACCTTTGAATAGTTCGAAGCAGCAGTCTCTATAGCTTGTCGTAAAACCGCCATGTTGTCGTCGTTCACGATAGTGAAGCCAGTCTCGCTACTCTGTTCCGCACTGAGATGATGGGTTTTGAAAAACCTTCCGCATGCGTAGGAATAAAAGTCGTCACATGGATCCACATTCTTGTCCAACTGATTGGAAATGACTTGG